GTAGATCGTACATGCCCCTATGTTAATTCTCCCCAGGAAACGAAAGTAGTAAGAGGTCAAGTTGAATCTGCCGAAGTCTTTGACTCAGATGGGTTACAACCGAAACATTTGTTGATTTATATTGTTTAAATTTTTTTAAAACATTGTTTTAAATAATTTATATATTTTTCTGTCACAAAAGATGCTCGGCAGAGAAAGAGAAAGGAAAACGGCAGGTAGGTATGCTAATATCATCTAAAAGAGGTGAAATTGTGACTGTCCAGTTATGTTTTTCTGTATGATGTACGATTATGATGTACGATCCAGTGGATACAGGCAGGTACAACGACCCCAGGATCACAACAAATTTATACTATAAACAGAGAGCAAAAGTACGTGTTAACGAACAGCTCTCATAAGAAATTAAAATAAGACGTGGAGTGAGACAGGGATGCGTATTGTCGCCAATTATTTTTAAGAAATACTCTAAAGATATCCTGAAAAACGCTCTAGGGGGTAAAACAGCTGGAATTAAAGTAAATGGAGTTTCCCATTAACAACAATAAATATGCGGACGAAACTGTGACCTTAGCCGAAAATATTGAAGATATTCAGAGACTGGTGACCAGAATAGCGGAGTATGGAAAAGAGTACGGTCTAACAATGAATGTCCAGAAGACGAAATTTATGAGAATATTAAAAACTCAAAGAAATATCTAGAATCTTTTAATAATCGGAACCAACGTCGAACAAGTGGACAAATATGCATATCTGGGAACAATGATTAACTCCACAAATGATTACATTCAGGAAATCAAAAGTAGATTAGAAAAGTCTAAAGCAAATTTCAACAAAATGAGAAGAGTGCTATATACAAGGGATTTAAAATTTAAACTAAGAGTTAAGTTGGCGAGGTGCTATGTTTTTTCGACTTTGTTTTATAGAATGGAATCTTGGACCTTGAATGCGACATCAATGAAAAAACTGGAATCATTTGAGCTGTGGGTATATAGAAGAATTCTAAAAATATCGTGAACAGACCACGTCACAAACAAAGAGGTTCTGAGAAGGATGAATAAAGAAATAAAAATTTTAAATACAATTAAAACAAGAAAATTGAAATATCTCGGACATATTAAACGTGGAGAGAAATGCACTTTGCTTCAACTGATTATGCAGGGAAAGATCCAAGGAAAGAGAAGCATAGGGAGGCGTAGAATGTCATGGCTGCGCTACTTGAGAGAGTGGTACGGATGTACATCAAATGAACTTTTCAGAACAGTCGTCTCAAAAGTCCGAATAGCTATAATGATTGCCGACCTCAACTGCTGAGATGGCACTTGAAAAGAAGTCTTATAAGCTCACCTGATCTCTAAACACAAACAATTCATTTCTTAAATTAGCAATGGCGTCCACGTGACCATCACAAATATCTGGAATTCTTTTTGCATTTGTACCCGGTGGGTCATTTTTGTACACTTCTCCTTCATAGTCATCATCATATTCAGGTGTTTTAGTCGATGTCGCTGTAGTCGATGTCTCTGTTTGCAATGTTGTCGTTGTAGAAGTAATTTCTTCAGAATCATACTCTTTATAGTCAGGATATTGTTGATCTCTGGTAGATTTGTCTGTGTCTGTGCTGAAATAGATATTCTATCATTATTTAATGCTATTTTTTTATTTTTATTTTTAAATGCATATTTACAATCTACGCATAAACAGTACATTAAGTAATTAGTAAATGTGATGATAAAAATGACTTGATTTAAGTTCCGTCCAGCAATGGTTCTCCATTTTTACTTATGTAACCAGATCTTCCCAAGAAGAGGCCAAGACCTTTTCAGTCTTTGTTTCTCTATTAATGGCTGATAATTTGGCTGTGGTGAGTTGAATTACGAATTTTGACCTTGTTGGCGTGGAGTGATATGATATCTTCAACTATAGGTCTTCAACTTTTAAGTCATTGTGGATGGTAGCATTGCTCATATACCAAGGAGTGTTAGCTATCATACGCAATGTTTTTTATTATAAAGTCTGCAAGGTTTGTTTATTTAATTTAGCAGAAGTCTTTCAAATATCTTGGACATCAAGGGTAACAATTCTATTAAAGGATAGGAAGAAGGTTTTGTACGCAATTTACCTGGCTTACCAATCATGAGTATATTTCCACCAGATTGGGACCATTGGATCGATTGGGACTTTGTAAAAGTTAGTTTTGGACTCGGATCACAATAAACTCGGACCACAATCCAGTAGTAGCAAATATGAATATAAGATTGAGAAAACTATCAATGAAAAAGATTAAGACTATAAATATACATTGATAAACTAAAAGAGAAGAGAGAAGACTAGACTAGAAGAATTATTTAAAATGATGAAAGAACTGGACGTAGAAGCTGGAAAGATAGGCCTTAATATGAATTAGAGCAAGACCAAAACTATAAAAAACACAGATGAAGACATTACAATGAGAATCGGACAAGATGAAATAGAACAAGTTAAGGATTATATATATCTTGGTCAAACTATAAAACATAACAAAGAGAACCAAACAGCAGAGATCAAGAGACGAGTTAGACTGGTATGGGCGGCATTTGGCAAACTAAGCTACATTCTTAAAAACAAAAGATATCCACAGCATCTTAAGACCAAAGTATATAATCAATGCGTACTCCCTGTTCTTACTTATGGTTTCCAAACGTGGACATCTACAAAAGCAAACATGGACAAAATCATAAAAACCCAAAGAGCAATGGAAAGACAAATATTGCACATAAGACTAATGGATAAAAAGAGAAACGACAGGATAAGAGAGAAAAGAAAAGTGAGGGATGTTAGACAAGAAGTTGCAAAATTAAAATGGAGATTTCCCGGACACAATATAAGACAAAAAGAAGACCGATGGAACAAAAATTCTTATAAGTTGAAGACCGTGGGAATATAAATTAAGCATAGAAAGGCCCCAAATGAGATGGGCAGATGATATCAAGAAGCACGTGGGCTCTAGATGGATGAGTGTAGCGACAGACAGAGAAGAATGGAAAAGGATTGGGGAGGCCTATGTCCAAAGATGGACCGAAGAAGGCTAATTAGAACTAAGAGAACCAAGTACATACCAAGAAACTCGAAATAAAATTAATCAGAGTATCCAAAAAATAAAACAACAAAATAAGAACACTAAAAAAATATTGAAACAAAATGGAAGAATATAAAGGACACAATAGAGACTGTAAGACGAAAAACATTAACATTTATAAAAGCTGTCAAACAAGAATGAATGACATAAGAAATTCTCGAAAAGATGGACGAAAGAAGAATACATAAAAACAAAGATAAAATTAAATATCAAGAAATTAATAAACAAATACCACTATAACTGAAACACAAGACAAATTACGTAGATGGAAAGAATACATTGAACACCTATTTTATGACCAAAACCTAGAACAATTAGAAGTTGACGGAGAAACTACAGGACCAGAAATAATGAAACAGAAAGTTATTTATGCCATTAAACACACAAAAGTAGAAAAGCTCCAGGACCCGATGAAATACCAATTAAACTATTGAAGATAATTGATGAAGATAATATTGATCTCTTGGTAGACCTTTTAACTCCATATACAAGACGGGACATATAACCAAAGAATGGCTTCTCTTAACTTTTGTAACGATTCCAAAACTCACAAATGCTAAAGATTGCAATGACTATCGGACAATTGCATTAATATGCCACACGTTGAAAACCTTCCTTAAAATCATACATAACAGAATCTACATGAAATTAGAACAAGAAATAAATAATGATTAACAAATAGGTTTTAGAAAGGGTCTAGGAACTATAGACGCATTATTCGGAGTCAATGTTCTGACACAACGATGTCTGGATATGAATCAGTACATATATGCTTGCTTCATAGATTTTAAAAAAGCTTTTAACAGAGTTTAATATGAAAAGCTTTTAAGTATTCTTAAGACTAAAAACATAGATAGTAGAGATCTACAAATTGAATCGAACTACTACTACTATCGGTTTACAGCGTTCTCCGACGCCTTCCTGAGGCCTGGAGGGATTTCTCTTTCCTCTAGTTTTTTTTCAATTATCTCTCTCCAGCTTCTTCTCGGTCTTCATCTTTTTCTTATCCCTGTGGTGTCCACGTCAAAATCTGTTTTGGAATCCTGTCATCTGGCATTCTCTCTACATGGCCGTACCATATTAACTGTTGTGTTTTTATGTCATCAACTATTGTATGCTTGACTTCCATCATTTCTCGTATTCTCTCATATGGTATCCGATCTCTTCTTGATTTGCCTGCTGCTCTTCTCCAGAAGTCCATTTCTGTTGCTAGTAACAGTTTCTCCGTTCTTTATTTCATTGGCCAAACTTCACTACCATATGTGATTACACTTTAAGTTATGGTGTTGGATATACGTTGTTTGTTTGCTTTAGATATTGTTTGGTCCCACAGAATGCCGTTCATCATGGATATGGCTTTTCTACCCTGTATGTTTCTATCTTTCATAGCAGTATCGAGTGTTCCATCTTGAGTTATCTTCATACCCAAGTACTTATATTCATCACAGTCAAATTATATCGAATCTTTATCAAAATGAGAAAGCAAGAATAAGAGTCGAAGGAGAACTGACAGAGGAAGTAAGTATACTTAGAGGAGTTCGACAACGGTGCATACTTTCACCACTATTATTCAGCGTCTACAGTGAAGTGATATTTCAAGAAGCTTTATTGGATATTGTGGAAAGTATTTTCGTCAACGGAAATAGCAATAATAATATTAGATATGCGGACGATACGGTCATATTTGCAAGTGACATGGAAGATCTACAGTACATAATATAACATGTATACAAGGCATGTGAAAGGTACGGATTGCAATTGAATCTCAAGAAAACGAAATCAAAGATATTCTCAAAAAAAAACACAAAATGTAGATAACCTATCATCATCAATACAACGATCGAAAGAGTAACAACATATAAATATTTAGGAACGTGGGTAACCGAAGATAGAGATCAAACAAAAGAAATCAGATCTAGAATAGAAAAGGCAAGAAATACGTTCATACAATTGAAGAGCTTACTTTGCAACCGTAACCTTAATCTAGAGATCCGCACAATAATGCTACGTTGTTACGTTTTTTCTACTTTACTTTACTAAATTAAGCTCCTTTGAGATGTGGTGCTACAGGAGAATCCACAGAATATCGTGGACTGAAAAAGTAACTAATATAGAGGTGTTACAAAGAATGAACAAAGAATGTGAAGTCATAAAAATTAGGATTCAACATGGACGTATAAACATAGATGGACACAGCAATAAGATACCTTTAACACACAATGTTTTGAAGCTTCGATAGAATGTGATGCTTCCGCAATGAGGATAAGCGTGCTTTAATTTTTACTCGCGGGTAATTATTCAGATTTTAAAAATGAGTTTTATTCATTTCACTAATTTATTTGTATCCATATGAGAAATATTAAATTAAAAAGGTACTAAACAGATCTTTTTTAATCAGATGATGTCTACTTACAATTTATAAATGTCTACTATTTTCATGAACTCATATCTTTTCAATACATTCATGAACGTGAATAAACCCAATGGTACGCCTATTAAAATGTAAACAAACACGCTTCCTCATTTCCTCATCTTAAATAATGTAAATTTTATGTACTTACAAATGAAATGAGAGATCGGGATGTAATTATTTCGTTTTATTTTATTTCACTTTTCACAAATATCACTCAAAATACAGCCAAAATATCGAAAAATAACTTTTTCCTCATTTACTGTTAAAAGTAAACAAACATGGAACAGCATTTGAAGTTTGACGTAGATTCATAAGACAGAGAAATGTAAACAACCGTTGCCATTTATAAATAGTTTTCAGTGCTTGTACATATAAAATAATTGATTGATATCTATTATACGCTATTATTAAATGATAATGCACACTATGTGCATACATGATATTTTGATTACAATTAAATATATTAATATAACCAATAAATTATTATTTTGGTTTGATAGCACCTGTAGAGTGTAAAATGCGGAGTACCTAATATTTCAGCGACTCGTGAATAAGAAATTTTAAAACAAAACGTGACAACAGTTGAAGGTGCTTAGAATGTAACCTATTCAAATAATTTTGACTTCACAATTTATGTAAATAACTGAGTCCATCTGTGTTTATACGTCCATGGGATTCAATATCTGAATCATATAATGAGGGGCAAGAAGTACGTATTACCTAGGTTAGTTATGCAAGGGAAGATACATGGAAAGACAAACCCAAGACGACGCAAAATATCCTGGCTAAGAAATTTGAGGGTGGTTCGGTTGCAGCTCATTAGAATTATTCAGAAGCGCGGCCAATACAATTAAAATAGCGATGATGATTTCCAACCTCCGAGAGGAGAAGGAACCTGAAGAAGAAAAAGAAGAGTTAGTACTCATTATTATTCCGCTAACTTTGAATGGAAAGAATGCTTTATTGACGGTGATAGTTTGGGGTGCTTCTAGCTATTCGCTGATTACATAATCATTTATGCTTTTACCTAAATTTGAAGCAAATATAGTTTCCAAGTATTCTGCAAATATTTTAGCTTTTTCATTATCAATCAGTGCCAATTTTCTATTATTCCTATAGCCTATTAACAACATCTACAAAAAAGGAGATAGAAAGTATTGTTCAAACTACAGGGCTAAGTGTCATAAATTCACTCTCAAGACTGTATGTTAAAATTTTAAAAAATAAAATTGAAAAGAGATGATAGATGTAGAACAACAGAATGGCTTTCGTGCAGGCAGATCCTATATGGACAGTATATGCTCTCTAAAGCAAGTTATCGAGAAAAGATTAGTCACAACCTTTCAACTCATATAGTCTTTATAGATCTGACAAAGGCATACGATAGTGTACCACTTTCAATGCTTTGGGTAGCAATGGAAAAACAAGGAATAAGCAAAAAAAAAAAAATATACAAGCAGTACAACAGCTGTACAAAAATATGACGGCAAACAATAAAACTGGAAATAGATTAACTAGAGAAATTCCTAATGGTAAGGGCCTAAAGCAAGGCTGCTGCATAGCACCTACGCTCTTCAAAATTTATCTAAATGAGGCACTCTCACTGTGGAGAAGAAAGTGCTGTAATATGGGCATCCCAATCGGAGATGATAGATTGTACACGATACACTTCGCTGACGACTAAGCCATTTCTAGCTGAAGACGAGAGTGATGTAGGATATATGCTTAGAAAACTGGAAGATGAGTACACCAAATGGGGCCTCACAATTAATATACAAAAAACTGAGTACTTAGTTGTAGGAGAGAAACCAGAAAGCCTACAAATCGAAATGGGAACTATAAAACCAACAGACAATTTTAAATACTTGGGAGTTCAAATAACATCAAAGCAGGAAGTAGCGAAGAAATTCATTCCAGGATTGGCCAAGCAAGATCAGCCACCAGACAGCTACAGGGACTATTATGGAACAACAAAATAACAAAAGAAAATAAATGAAGAATTCATAAAACAATAATAGAAAGTATTGGACTATACGGTGCCGAACTCTGGGATATAAACCAAAGAAACAAATCAAAAATTAAGGCCATGGAAATGAACTACTGGAGACGATGTTGCCAGCTCACTAGACTTGATAGGGTGGAGAAACGAAGATATTCGGAGAGAAATGGAAATCGATCTAGACATAATAGACACAATCGAAGACAAAAGACTTAACTGGTATGGACCTTCAGAGAATGCCGGAAAATAGATGGCAAAAAAAATAGAAGAATAGACTCCGCCAACTAGAAGAAAACGAGGTAGACCAAGACGATCCTGGAGAGACGTTGTCGACGATGCAATGACCTCCAGAGATCTAACAACTGAAGATTGCTTCGACAGAAAACGCTGGAAATTACGATGTGAGAAGCGGCGCCAGCTGTAGAAGACTCGCTTGTTATATTTATATCCTATAGCCTATTTAACTGTGGTAGTTTTTTTTTAGTATATTTAGTAAATACTAAGGTGTAAAAAATATACCTGGTAAAAAATATACCAAGAACCAGTCTCCGAAAAACACATTAAGATATGATGTCTGAGGTAGGTAGACGATGTAATGAGGATGGAGCAAACCAACCCAGCTAGAAAAACGGTCCTTGATAGACCTATTGGTCAAAGAAGAGAAGACCCAGAACAAGATTCCTAGATAACATAGTCCAAGATATGAGAAATATGGAAATACGTGCTTGAGTGTTATGATATGAGTTGTTTTAATAGATATTTTAAAAATGATAAATTAAAAGTTCTGAAAAAATATTTTTCTTATATTCAAATACCTTGAGTAATATGTTTGTTCAGTAGACCAACTCGTTGTTGATGGTTCAGTTGTGGTTTTTAAAGTGCTTGAGGATATATCTCCATTAATATTATTTGTCGAAGTATCAGTGTCCTCTTTGAGAGTTCTGCGAACTAAAATAAATAAAAAGTTACAACCTGAGTCTTACAAGTTATATGCAGAGTGTTTACAAAAAAAAAACAACGTCTCTAGGATAGTTAAAAAATTGAAAAATACTTGATGTTTTTTATATTTTTTTTTCTAACGCCATTCGTTTTTGACGCCATGATAAAGGGCGTTGAAGAAAAAAAATTACACACTTTCTACGATTTTGCCAAAACTGCTGGCAACATTTAAATGAAATTTTATAAGAATATGTTTTCGAAGCTGGTATATCCTATGAATTTATTTTTGTATCTGACTCTCATAGAAGGCGCTACTTACAATTTTCGTACGAAGTATTATGTAATATAACTTTTTTTAGGGTAGAATAATTAATCAAAATTTCAAGTGAACATAAACATGCAATTTTACACCAAAAAGGTACTCTTGGTAAAATACGATACTGTATACCGTTTTCGGAATATTTTAACCCTGAACTACTATCGTGGGGTCAAATTTGACCCCAGGACTTGAAATTTCGTGCGCCACTGGTAGACAGCTTGGCGAGCGACCTTGTTATTCTATGTATTCCCCAATTAAGTACGTAGTTTAGCATGCCGCTTAGTAGCAAACGATCAGTGGGATAGTGCACACGTGTTGCTGAGTTCGGTCGGATTTGACCCCACCATAGCAGTTACGTTATTTTATTTAAGATAATACATTAAAATGGCTTTAAGAATTAGCGGAGCACGGTGATAAGTGACAATGTTTTTGACTTTCTCGAATCTCTGGAGGAACCAACCGAAAATATTGACACTTATAGTGACTCTAATAACAGTGATACTGACACTGAAAGTGAACATTCGGTTCACGACACAGATTCAGAAATTGACGTAAGTGACTTATCAAGCGACGAATGTAAAACAGCATCTAATAATGAAATAAATTTTTACTATGGACGGAACAGATATAAGTGGGCTAAAAATGCTCCGGCCCATTAAAAATTCGCGCACAGAACATTATTACACATCCACTCCACTTGAATCCTGGTCACTTCTTATAACTCCTGACATGTTGGCCCCTATTCTAGAGTACACAAATGAAAAAATTACCGAGCTCAGTGTAAATTATGGGGATACATGTACATTTGTCGATCATCTAAACGAAGGTGAACTTAAGGCTTTTTTGGGTCTTTTATACCTTTCAGATGTACTAAAGTCTAATCATGAGAATGTCGGATCATTATTTTCGACAAGTGTTTTAGGTAGGCCAATTTTTCGTGCTACAATGTCAAAGAACGCTTCTTATTTCTTCTCACAGCAATAAGATTTGACAATCATAGCAAAAGAAGGCCAATGGAGATCGACTTGCAGCACTGTCCATTTATTTAAATATTTCGTATCTAACAGTACAGCAAAACTACACCTGTTCCGATTATGTTACAGTGGACGAGATGTTGGTTGGGTTTAGAGGTAGATGCCCTTTCAGAATGTACATGAAAGCCAAACCAGTCAAGTACGGCATCAAGATCATATGTTTATGTGACGCAAAAACACATTATTTGGTAAATGCTTTTGTGTATACGGGTAAAACAAATGATCCTAATGCCCAAAAGCTATCCATACCTACAAGATCAGTACTTGCTTTAGTGGAACCAATTGCCAATAGTAACGAAATGTCACTGGTGATAATTGGTTCACCTCAATAGAGCTAGTTGATGAACTAAAAAACTTCGACTTACCTATGTAGTACAATGCGTAAAAATAAGAGAAAAATTACTCCACAATTTCAACCAAATAAAAATTACGAAGTTGATAAGTGTTTATTTGGTTTTACACGAGACAATACAATCGTATCATATGTCCTAAAAAAAATAAAAGTGTAATTATGTTGTCGTCTATGCATCACGATAAATCTGTTGACCAGGAAAGCAAAAAACCTGAAAGGAAGCTTTCTACAATTCGTCGAAAGGGGCGTTGATGCACTTGATCAAAAATGTGCACTTTATCGTTCAGGTCGAAGATGCCAGCGATGGCCTTTAGTAATTTGGTATTCCATAATGGATATTGTATAGTAAACAGTCATATTATTCTTCACGCAGCTAATCCTGGGGTTAAAAAAAAATCGATCGGATTTTATTCAAGAGCTGGGAATCAGTCTTATAAATGAACATTTAGAAGTAAGATTGCAATGCCAAATTTGTCAAGAGAATTTACGTTCGATAATTTCCAAAGCATTAGAAAATGAAATTACCCATTAAGATCAGACCAAACCAGAAAGGCCAGTTGTAAGACGTAGATGCTACTTGTGTCCAGAGGTAAGGATAACAAACATTTCACATTTTGCGCAGAATATCATAGGACCATCTGCAAAACACATCCACTTCAGAGAGTTACTGTACTATGTGCAAAGAATGGATAAACACTTACAATTTGTTCAAATATTTTTGTCGCAAGATTCTAACATTACGAAAAAAACTGACTGTTATTTTTTTATATGGTTACTCTATTATGATTTTCTTTTGTATTAGGTTAAGACGTTACTATTATAAACTACTTTTCAGAAAATGAACCGTTAATTTCAATTTAAGATATATTTTTTTTATTATAATAATAAGTTATGTTTTTGATCAAAATTTATTTAAAAGTTCTATAATTTTTATTATAGCATCTTAATTTTCTTGAAATAAAATTTAAGTTTACAAAAAATCTCTTTTTGTATACACGTTCATTGTCAAAAATACAAAAACAACAAAAATATATTTTTATATCTTGTTTAGAGGTTTTTAAAATTCGGGTCATCTACCTATTACTTCTGTAGGAGTAAATACACGATAGTAGCTCAGGGTTAATTTGAAAATGTAAAAAGTAATATCCGATACTGGTATACTCGTAAACTAATGGTAAAGTTATTAATTAAAAATAATAACAAAAAGAAAATAAAAAATAAAGACTAAGAACATAAAATAAGTGTTCAAAAAGTCCTTTGTTTTCACGAATACACAAGTCTGTCTTTTTTTCTAAAAAATCAATTAATCTTCTAAACGGATAGGGATCAGCTATGATGTCATTAAAGGACATTGAATTCTGTCTTCCAATTCTTGACGAGATTTACCTCGGCAGCATAGACTTTTTTCTTAACATACGACCGAACTGTGCAGTCCAAAGAATTAAAATTATCACCAAAATATCGATTCGTAAAATGAAGATTCCAAGAAAAACAAAAAGATATATAGGAGTTGATTTCGAACCTTCGAACAGTGAACACGTTATCGTTTTGAATCAATTATATGGTTAATTGATATTTAATATCAGTGTTTAATACAATTGACAAAATGTGAAATGGTATTGTTGTGTTTGCATATGAAGTGATTAACAGTCAGTAAGTTTTTTATTCTACATATTGGATAATTAATTATTAATTTTGGACTATATATCGTCTATATAAAATTTCAACTAGCAGTGTTTTAAAAAAACTATCAACAACTACAAAATTGGATATTAGTTTTTCGTTTTAAATCCAGTTTCACGGCCAGCTGTAAATCTGGCCACATCATCATCCAGCCTCAAGAGTCCACTGCTAAACATAGGCCTCTTCCTCATGTTTTCAACCCCGTCTATCTTGCGCCGCTCTTATCAGTTTTTATTGAGTCTTCTTAAATCGTCAGTCCATCTTGTAGGTGGTCGACCGACGTTTCTCTTGTCTTCCCTTGGCCTCCATTCCAATGACCTCTTTGTTCATCGCCCATCTGTCATTCTGGCTATGCGTCCTGCCCATCTCCATTTTAGTCTGGCTATCTTTTCGATGATGTCAGTCACTCCAGTTCTTTTCCTGATGTCTTGGTAGGTTATTCTGTGTCGCAGAGTTATTCCTAACATGGACCGCTCCATTTTTCTCTGCGTGACTCTCAGTTAGTAGCTGCTGTTTTTGTTAAGGTAAGTGTTTCTGCTCCGTACGTCAAGACTGGAAGGACGCACTGATCAAATACTTTCTCTTTAGGCATGTGGGCACTCACTTTTAAAAGTTTCTCCCAGTTTTCCAAATGCTGCCCAAATTCAGTTTATGAGTCTGGTTATCCCTGCCAATCATAATTTCATGTATCAGGTATTTATATCTATCTACGACATCTATTTCTTTCCCACCAATACTGATTTTCTGGTTGGGTACCAAATTAGTCATGATTTTTGTTTTCGAGATATTTATATTTAAACATACATTTTCTGTAGCCTTTGTTCTGTTATTCCTTTGTCATCCAATCCAAATTCTTAAAAGCATGTTCTAGCATGGCCTGACAAATAAATCTGGTCACGGACCTATTTAATTCTTTAATAATTTTAAATACGGAGGAAAATTAAATATGGCTACTAACCGCAGCATCTCACCTAACTCACTACTAATGTCTGAAATAAACTCTAATAGCTCAACGTACCCATCAGCAGTAGCAATATGAGATTCCAATCAAAAGAGCAAGCGATTGTCTTCAGTGCCTTGGATAATACTAAATTGCAAGATTATTTAATTCCATTGGCAAGATAATTCAATCTAAGAATATAATATTTTCATCCAGATTATCAAATAACCGTATTTGTATGTATCTAGCAAATAAAAAAGTTGTTGTTGACTTTATGACAAACCACGGTCATATAAAAAATGTAAAATGTAACTTTACATGCTAGAAGATTAATCACCCCTGCGGAACGGATTGTTCTTTCAATGTGTGTCCCACCATACCGCATAGTTTCTTAATCAACTACCTACAAAAATATCGGACTTAACATGGTATCTCCAATTACATTTTTAAAAATCAGCGCTACATCATCTGATTATAGTCATATTCTCAGTTTTAGAAGACAGGTCTATGTAAGTCCTCATAGTATAGAACTACCTGATTCGTTTACTATAAATCATGACCAAACAAAATATCGAATCTTTTGTCTCAAGATAGTATGGTTGTTACAACTGCAAATAGACTGGGACGTACTGCCCATCGCTGCAATAAAAAACTCACAAGTTCATGTTGAAGAATGCTCTA